AAGGAATAAAACAAGACCGTCAGCTGCTTAGACAAATGAAACTCTTTCATTTTTACTCGTGAATGTAAAATCAGTAGACACATGCGAGATGAATAAAGATTGTCATTGTCATTGTCACTGTCATTGTCATTGTCATTGTCATTGTCATTGTCATTGTCAAAACTCGAACTAAGACTAAACTTCTTTTTTCTGCCTGATACTTTCGAGTATCACCTCCAACCTTCAGCATTTATAGGACCTATTTGCGTTGCAAGTGTCGTAGAACTTGCCCTAAAACTTAATTTCTTTACTTTGCATTTTTCTCTCTCGTATCACCTCAACCTTCACCACTTATATTACAACCTTTTTGTGTTGAAAAAGCAGTAAAACTCTTACTAAAAAACATTAAATTTTATTCTTTCCTTCGCATGCTACTCTCTAGTATCATCTCTAACATTCGGTACTTATTGTATTACTTTAATGATCTGTTTGCGTTACAAGAGCCGTAAAATCATGCTAACACTAATCTTCTTTTCGCTGCATTTTTCTCTCTAGCATTACCTCTAACCTTTACCACCTATATGACCTTTTCGCGTCACAAATACCGTAAAACTCCTACTAAAAACAAAACATCTTTTCTTTGCATGTTACTCTCTAGTATTACCTCTAACCTTTACCACTTATATGAACGACTTGTGTTGCAAGTGCCGTAAAACTCGCACTAAAACGAAACTTTTTAAAAACTCTGCACGCTACTCTCTAGCATCACCTTTAACCTATAATTACGACCTATTCGAGTGGCAAGTGCCGTGGAACTCATAATTAAACTTAACTTCTATCTGTTACATATTTCTCTATATTTTCACCTTTAACCTACACCAAAATAATATGACCTATTTGTGTTGCAAGTGCCGTAAAACTCTTCCTACTGAAAACTCCCCCCCCCCCCAGAGTGGACACTCCCTGCCATGACCTCTGGCTTTTGTTCTCGGATGCCTTCAAGTACAAACCTCCCTGTTCTCGGAGTGTGGAAGACTACATGCTGGCCGTGAGCATGATGTACCAGCACCTGCCTGAGGATATGGTGAGCACATATTGATAATGGCTGGTATTGACCGTGGGTGGTTGGAGGGTTCCCTGCTGTGGTTGGGTCCTTCTTTAATGATATTAACGATAATAATAAAATGATGATGATGATGATGATGATGATGATGATGATGATGATGATGATGATGAT